GTCCTTAGCCAAAACATGACTTTGTCCAACGATGCCTTAATGCTGATTGGCAGGAGCTTTCCAAGAATAAAGACAAGCGACATTGTGAATGCTACTTGAAGTTCCCAGGAAACTGAACCTGGGATTCTCTGCATAAAGTACAGGTAAAGCTTTCCCTCGCACATATGTACTAGTTGTTCCCGAATCTAGGGTGTGGTGCTCATCTCCGTTTCAAAGCCGAAGAGCCAGCACTGCCTGAAGTCATTTTCATGGTCATGTGGCCAACATAACTAAACACCAAAGGCACATGCAACACTGTGACCTTCCCATCAAGGTGGTTCCTATTTTTCTACTTGCATTTTTACATATTTTCGAACTGCTAGGTTGGCAGAAGCTGGGACAAGTAACGGGAGCTCACTCCATAATGCAGCACTAGGGATTCGACCAGTTGAACTGCCGACCTTTCTAATCAACAAGCTGAGTGTCTTAGTCACTGAGCCACCACGCCCCTTGATTCTTTGCATGCAAAGTATTTAGTTCTGCCATTGAACGTAACTTTTCATAATACTGTAGAAACAGCATTGTGTACCACTGGCATGAAATATAATTACTGTGGGGTTTGTTTGTTTTTTTGCTTTTAGGAAAACCCAAACCCAAAACATGACAGCTATAGTCAGCCTCTTCATTACATATAGTTGACATGTTTACTTGGTAGCTTTAATTTTGAGATGTGTGAGTGACACAAGAATTTTAAAAGGATGATTTGAAGAGTAACATAAAAAATAAAAAATAAAGTGTAAATAATGAATTCAGCTTCCATTTAATTTCATTCCCTGTAGTTACCTTGATGTAAGATGAGTGGCCTATATGTTTTATAAATAAATAAATAATTTGGTGTAGTGGTTAAGGCATTGGCTAAAAACTGGGAGACTGTGAGTTCTAGTCCCACAAAGCCAGCTGGCCATACAAACACTCTCTCTGTCTCTTAGCCCTAGGAAGAAGGCTATGGAAAACCACTTCTGAATCTTGCCAAGAAAATTGAAGGGACTTGTCCAGGAGTCAAGACTAATTTAAAGGCAAACATGCAAACATAATTGGGAAAAGGTGGATTATGCCAGCTGTAAGGGAGACAATCTTGCAGTAAAACATTATACCAATCTTCTGGTAGCCAATTATTTATTTCTTGCCAAAAGCTTTTTGAAACAACAACAAAAATAGATATAGAATGCCTGAATAAAATATAGTAAAACATGGCTGGCACAGGGTAGATAAATTGTAGAGGGTCAATGTTTATACTATCTGTTGATAAAGATGATGTCACACACACACAACCAAATTGGAAATTGCAATCCTATTGAATAGGAAATTGCAATCCTATTCATTGGCAGTTGGCAGGTAGCCCCACTGTTATCAACATCTTTTCCAATATTATCCTCCCCAAACTGCTTTACAAGCCCAATTCTCAGATGTAGAAAATACAACAGATCAAGTTTCCAAGCAGGTATAAAATAGTTATTTGGAAACTTACAATAAAGTTCCCTGCATTTATTTTAAAAAGCCATAAGAGGGAAAATGAATGAAATGTATAGATAAATAATATTCAGCATTCTGAAAATATTCATATGGTATTTTAATATTTTTTTCTGACTTCCAATACTAATGTTTGCTATTATTGTGATTACAATCTGAATTCAAAACATACTGCAAACCTATATGCTTCTTACTTTATTGCCATATTTAAAAATATATTTACTTTCAATGTTTGATCCTTTAAAAAACCAGGCCTCCATCTTCTACAGGTTAGATGCCTAATATATTTTTCTGCGTGCAAGAATGAAGGATGTAACTGTAAGACTGTTTGGCTCAAGGGCATATTGGCTTAAGGTCAAGAGTATCTTATTCTTTCCCTTCATACACGCTTTTGGTTTAAAAGAAAGTTGCCAAACCCATGGCTATATTTATAACTTAGCAACTCCACACTAAATAGGAAGTTCTCTTTCATTCTGTTGGCAACTCTGACTATCACGTGGCATAAGTAATCCAATTGGAGAGTACCTTTGAACAAATTTAGTCTAGCAAATCCAAGATAGCCTTGGTTTTAGTTAAAAATACCTCTTCTGGTATTTAATTGTGTGGGATAATAAAAAGCAGTCAGTATTCCCAAGTTCTATTTATGCCTTGGTTAGGCACTCAAAGATGGATGATTTTAGAATTATTATTCAAAATGATCCAAACTGGCCAATAAGACATGTATGCAGTGGTGGATTAAGGCTCACTGGCATGCAAAGCACTGACAAATCTTGGTGCCCCCTCCTTTGTATATACGTTACAACTTTTCATTGGTTTTTGTTCTTTCTTTCTCAACTTTGTGGTATCCCCTTGGGCCTGGTGCCCTAAGCACATGCTTAGTCTGCTTAATGGTTAATACACCACTGCATGTATGTATCTGACCTAAGAAGATTTCCTTCCCCTCTTATTTCCACGTTCTTGCTATATGGTAATCTGTTAAAGTAATGAAGAAATTGATGGCTTCACAATTAGCAAATAAGTATGTTCACTTTATAATTACTATAGCAAATCTCCAAATCTCCAAAATCTCCAATTTCTGGTTCTTTGTTGTAAGCAGACTATTTTTAGATGCAACAGGAAAATGCAAGTGCATTAAAATTCTAATTTAACAAAGAATGTGTATGCTCTCAACTTCAACAGCAGTATCATCGTATTAGTCTCGAACATGGCAGCAGGAAAAGACACATGGGCCTCTGTTCCTCATGAAAAAGTGGTAAACAAAGAACTTTTGATATTTAAGAGAGAGAAAGAAGATTCTCCAAAATAGAAGTACTGTTAAATTATGGCACTGTGGCAGACATCTCAACCTTATAATGACCTCTCATCTTGTTCTGCCCTACAGCAAAACTCTTATTACTCCATATTTAAGACAGAAGGAATGCACATCCGCAGTGAGGTCTAAATTCAAATTTGTCACCAAAGGGAACCAGAGTTCTGTACACAATTATATTTTTATTTACCAATACTCATCTATAGCAATTTTTTAAAAAATCTTTTATTATACTTCCAAGCAATATATTACTATACATATATATATATAGAAAAAGAAAGCAGCCACATTTTCTAACCATTTAATCAAGTTTCTTTCTGACTAAATAAATGATATTTGTGGGAGCTCTGCATTTAAGAAGCACTCATTTCATAGGCATTAAAATTGTTCTAAAACTATGCGTGGGTGGTGGAATGATTTAAGAAGCCAGAAGAGGGCACTCATTAGTAGTCAATTTCCATTCAAAATCTTATAATGGAAACAAAGTCAGGAATCTTGAATAGATATTCCCAAAATGAAACAGGATTGGAGTAACTGGAATTCCAGAATCAAGATAAGTAACATTTTCCATGTTTTATAACAGTGGGATGCACTAATAAGGAAAATTGTAAATTGCTGTAATCTACATGTTATGGCCACAGAAACAAACCTATTTTAAAGCAGCTTGCTAAAGTCTATAAACTATAACTAATTTTACTTCGTCAAGCCCAAAACAACAGTCACAGTACTTAAGATTTTCCTGTAAAAAAGTCAAATGTGGGAGTAATTATATCAGTAGACAGAGAAAATTTTCTTTCACTTGAATGAGAGTCTGAATCTTGGTAATAAACTAAAACATTTTTAAAACATATTTTAGTCAGTGATATTGTGACAAATCACTGCTAAAACCCTTTTTCTTGGTAGGAAGGGAAAGTGAGAAACATTTGGAACTGTTTGTATATGAAAAATGGCACTAAAAAAAATTAGTGGTAATAACCCTGTTGCCTGAAAATAAGCCCTCCCTGAAAATATTGCAACACAGCAGCAGGCACAGTGATCACGCTCGCCGCCTCCTGCACCTCAAAAATAATAAGAGCTCTTTGAAAATAAATCCAAGCACTTATTTCAGGGGTCAAAAGAAAATAAAACCTATTTTCAGGGAAACATGGTATGTAGTTTAGATCAGGGGTGGGTTTCAACCGGTTCGCGGCGGTCCCCGTTGGTCAGCGAACCCGGAAGTAACTTCCAGGAACGGCGAAGGGCCCACCTGCCCGCCCTCGCTCCTTACCGGTCTTTGAAGGCTTTGAAGGCTTTGAAGGCTTCTGCGCTTCCACGCAGGCGCATGGCACATACAGCGCCTGCACGATTCTCCGCGAGCAGCTGTGCTAAGACGCATGCGTGAACTGCGTACGTGCATATAAATATATAAATTTAT